TTTTGTTTTGTTTTGTTTTGTTTTGTTTTGTTTTGTTTTGTTTTGTTTTGTTGAGGCAGGGCTTTGCCATGGAGTCCTGACTGGCATGGGATTCACTGTGCAGCCCAAGCTAGCCTCAGACACATGGCAGGATTCCTGCCTCAGCCTCCAGAAACCGCCTTCTCAATTAGAGGCAGCTAACCTCTCAGATTGCGTGTTCAAGTTATTTATTGTTTCGTTTCCCCTTTGAGAACGAATCCCAACGTGTAAGGCAGGTGCCCTCCCATGTGCTGAGATTTACAGGCTCTGCCACCCCAGCTGGGCCATTTTTACATTTTGATCACAGAGTGCTCTGTTCTAGCTACTGTATACTTGGAGAATGTGGAAGAAAGTTCACATGACTCACTTTCAAACGCATCATTGACCATGACAAAGTATATAAATAGCTTTGACACAGATATCTCCAAATAGCTTCAAGAGATTAAAGAAGGTATTTCCATTAGACTTTTTGTTGTATTTCTTCCTGTATAGACCAAACCAGTCTCAAATTCATGACAATCCTCCTGCCTCAGCTTCTATTAGAAGTGCAGAAATACAGAAGAGTCAGGCAAAGGAACTGGGCATTGCCAGTAACACTGATAGGAATGATAGGAATCTGTGTTTCGTTTCCGTTCCCCCAGCATCATTTCTGACTCCTGTTCCTCTCATTTTCTGTTATCTTCTCACCTGGCAGGCTCCATGTTTCTCGGCTGCCTGATTGTGGCTGTTGTGCTGAGCTCTGCCAGCAGCTACTATTCCTCCCCAGCCCAGCAGGTGCCCCAGAACCCAGCCTTGGAGGCCTTCCTGGCCCAGTTTAGCCAACTGAAAGAGAAATTTCCAGGTCAGAGTTCCTTCCTGTGGCAGCGAGGACGTAAGTTTCTCCAGAAGCACCTCAATGTCTCAAACCCCAGTGAGCCGGCCACCATCATCTTCACAGCTGCCCGAGAGGGAAAGGAGACCCTCAAGTGCCTGAGCTACCATGTCGCCAATGCCTACACCTCTTCCCAGAAGGTGACTGCCGTGTCCATAGATGGAGCCGAAAGAGCCCTGCAGGACAGTGACACGGTCAAGCTGCTGGTTGACTTGGAGCTTAGCTATGGGTTTGAGAACGGCCACAAGGCTGCTGTCGTCCACCACTTCGAATCCCTTCCTGCGGGCTCCACCCTGATCTTCTACAAGTACTGTGACCATGAGAACGCCGCCTTTAAAGATGTGGCCCTTGTCCTGACCGTCCTGCTGGAGGAGGAAACGTTAGAAGCAGGTGTAAGCCCCAGGGAAACAGAAGAAAAAGTGAGGGATTTACTCTGGGCCAAGTTCACCAACTCGGAAACCCCCAGCTCCTTCAGCCACATGGACTCAGACAAACTGAGTGGGCTCTGGAGCCGCATCTCCCACCTCGTGCTGCCCGTGCAGCCTGTCAAGAACATAGAAGAGCGAGGCTGCCTTTTCTGAAGCCAGCCTCAGAGGTGACAGGGAAGGGCCAGGTCTGAGGGCTCTGTTCCACTGGGAGGAGGTGATTGGCACGGGAGAGGAAACACCTGGGAAGCACATGACTTTTTAGAAAAGAAGTTTTTTTTTTTCTTTTACTTTTATAAAACTTTCTAGACCGAACTTTGATAAAACTAACAATTGGCCTGATGTTTTTTCTTTGTCTTTTAAAGCAATCAGGGTTAATATACAACATGATGTGTGGATTGTTTCAGTGTCCAGCACTGAAATCGCCAAACAGGAAGATGTGATTTCTGGGAATGGTAGCACCACTGCTGCCCTGCAGTAACGCTAACCGGCCTCTAGGGCAGTGCTCGCGCCTGGACTGGGTGGAATTTGAATGATTTTAGAGAACCCTTCTACTACATGTTAAGAATTTTTTAAGATTCACTTTAATAATGCACTTGTGGGGTTGGTTGTGTCTTACACAGATTTGCACTTTGAGTAGATGAAAATGGGAAACTAGAATTCAACCCTCCAAACCTACCTAAGAACCTGGCGTGTGCACGCTTTTATTCCGTTAATGAGCTGAGGTAAGAACAGCTGCGCTCAAAGAAGACCGTTCCTACACATCGGAATCAATGTAGAAATTGTCTGTAACCACTGGAAATGAAAGAATCCCAACTGGCCATATCATTTCTCTGTCCCTCCCAGAGTCCCTCCCTTCTATGCGGCATGCCTGCTCTTGGCTGCTGGTATTTGGGGTTCTCTGTTAAGATTTCAGTGGAACTGAGATTCACCGAGAAGGAAGTTTGAAAACCACTGATGAAGTGAAAGCACATTCTAGAATAGGAACTTGGATAGGAAGAAATGAAAGTGTTAAAGTTTAGGAATAGGAGTAAGGTCTGTCGTCCAGGGTGACAAAGACCTGCAGAGGAGCCATTCCTGGAGGAAGTAGGACACGACCTCCAGCTTTTGTTCATTTTTGTCGATCTTACCCGTCCTCCCACTGAAATTTCACAGTTGTTTGTGATAAGAGTCTGAGCGCAGTTTCAGAAAAGACTTGAGTAACAGCAGCTGGCATAAGTTTACTGACTGCATCATTAGCTAGTTAGAAATGCCATCAGGGAAGGAATTTGAGAAATGCTAGAGGATGGATGTTCTCCATAGGGAACAGAAAGAGGAATCATGGCCAATATCAGTTATTAAGCTCCGCCCCATGATTTCAGACTGGGGCCAATAGCTGTTGATCAGCACGTGAACTCTGAAAGTAAAACTCTAGTAAAATGATCGTGACCCACAGAAGGTCTGCTCCGTTACATGGATGGGAAAGGCCCTTGGAATTCTGCACTGAGTTTTGGGTCGCCTGCTGCTATGAGATGACGTATACAGTTAAGATGTTAGGCACCCTGAGTCGGGAGGGATTTTAGGAAACACTAAGAAGCTCTCTATTGATAGTTAAGAGGATCACAGAGACATGGGTGAGAGGTGATCGGAAAATATTTGCCACAAGACGGCTTTGGCCAGAGCCTTTGGTGTACTCAGTTAAGTATGGGGACATTCATGAAACAGTATACATTTGGGATTTTGAAGGAATCCTGAAACAGATTTAAGAAAAGACCCTACACAAAGTTTAACCATAGTGAATGGAGTTTGACTGTCCACTCAGTGTGAATGAAGCACAGGGACTGAAGAAAAAAATCCGTTTGGCATATTTGATTTTTTTCTTCTGTATTTCTAGACTTACTTGTTTTGAATGCTGGTGGCTTGTCATATAGCCATGTCTGGCCTGTTGCATACTTTGTAACATAGGCTGACTTTGAACTTACAGTGAATTCTCCTACCTCAGTTTCCTGCGTGCTGAGGTTATAGGTGCGTACCATCATATCCAGCTTTCAGTTCAGCTCTTAGCTACACCATTACATCACTACAGCCACATAAAGTCACGTCAGAAGGTGCCTTGCAGGGCTGTTATGTTGGCCTTTGACCTGTGCTACCTCAGATTCTAGAGGAACTGGTCTACAGTATTTGTACACAGTCTATGTCAGTGGCTCGGATCACAGGACAGGTGAAAAGTAATGGTTTCTTCACCAAAACTGTGTAAAACTACAGTTTTACATAGTTTGCTGTCAACACAAATTTAGGATATAATAAATTTTAGAAATTTATATTTTCAATTTTTTTTTTTTTTTACTATTTACCATGTTAAAATACACCTTTTATTCAAGGAAAGCACCCTACCACTAAGCTATATTCTCAGACCTCTTAAAAAGCATTTTGAAAAGAAGCAGTATATGTTAGTTTGGGTTCAGAACAAATGATTTTCTGTTTTTGATGCAGAGTCTCTACACAGCCCAAAGTAGTGATTCTCAAGCCTTAGACTTTTACATGATGGGATTATACTAGTGTGCCACCACACCAGCTTCATGTCATGACTTTTTAAACAAATATATTTTAAAATGTATACATATCTATTACCTAGACCATTGTTTTTCATATCCAGTTTTTCAGCCTTTTATGTGTGTTGTAATTCTTTGTGATATTTTGCCTCTCTGTGTGTGTGTGTGTGTGTGTGTGTGTGTTTTGTTGGTGGTGGGTTTTTGTTTTTTTTAAATAGAATCCCTTCTTGTCTAATACCAAGTCTCAGAAGCAAGCAGGGAAAATAGAAACTATCTTTAGACTTGGGTCTTTCTTTCCCCTTCAGGTAAAATTTAGGGTTCTTTTGGGTAGCACTCAGAGATCAGTTCTAGAAAAAGAGAAGTTCTAGAGAGTTCTTACCATTGAACTAATTTTAATAAATTTTATCTGGAAGTCCGCAGGCTTGGTAGTGAGGTTCAGCACCCTTTCCATCGGCTTATGTGCCCCCCAACCCCCAAAAGTGCCGGCTGATGGTGCAGCTTTATCTCTCAGCCTTTGCTTCACATTCTTGTTAAAGGCAGGAGCACAGTGAGCGAGCACAGATGTTGGGTATGACAGACAGATGACACAGCCTGTGAACACGAGAGTAATGCAGCAAAATGATTTCACCAACACTCTTACTTTCTCTAACAAAGATTTCTTAGCCCCATAGAATTTTGCCTTTATGTATTTACAAATTTAATGGCTTGTCAGACTTAAGTCACCTTAACTACTTTTTGCATTTGTTTCCATAGTGATGATATTGAATGTGCCTTATTCAAATCAATTGTTTGCTTACTATACAGTAAATCTCCTTAATTTTTTCTAGCTGACTGATTTTTGACAAAAATTTCCAAAATAAAGAATTTATGGAAATGGGCGTGTGGTCGTTAATGGTGGGAAGAGTCAAAAGGATTCTGGAAACATCCAGTGATGTTGGGGCTTTAAGAGCCAGCTAGTCTGAGTACTTGACATGCTCCAGGCCTGTCTCAGATAACAAGATGGACCGTGCCTGAGGAAGGACACACGCGCACATGCACACCAGAACAAAAGAAAAGTTTGCTCTGAGAATGTTGCCGATCCTGAGTTAGTGGGTAGAATCCACACTCCAGCCCCTCACTGCTCGGGATCTAAGGCTGGGCCCTGCTCTCTTCCTCAGCCCAGACTAGTGCTTCTTGACTAACTTCCTATTTGATTCTTGTAATTTAGGAAAATATATTTTCAAGAGTTAGCTTATCTTAGCACTTGGAAGGCAGAGGCAGGTGGATTTCTGAGTTCGAGGCTAGCCTGGACTACAGAGTGAGTTCCAGGATGGCCAGAGCTACACAGAGAAACCCTGTCTCGAAAAAACAAACAAACAAACAAAGAGCATATCTTAAGAGCATTTGGCAACCACAGTGCAGAAGAGTCTGCTTGCAGAGAATGGGGCTTCTTAAACCCTGTCCAATTACCTACAGTAGACACGTGGTAGAAGTTTTTATTTTTGAGTGTTTAAGTTAAAAGGGTAGAAAATTACATATCTACCCCCCAAACACAAACTGGGTGGTAATCGAGTTTCTATATAATATATTCAAAGTTGAGAAGATTAAACACAGCAACAAACAAAACAAAAAGCCCCGAAGCCTTCCTATTCCGAGAGCCTTTTGCAGACCGGCCAGCAGCAGTGGTGCTGGGTGTGGTGGGCGTGTGAACGGTCTGGCTGCAGGGATGACTCAGTGGTTGAGACTGCTTTTCGCTCTAATAGCAGAAATTCTAGTTCAATTCCTAGCAAGCACACTTGGTGACTCACAACTATCTAACTCCAGCTCCAGGGGACCTGACACCCTCATGTACAAAACACACACACGCACACACACATGCACACACATGCACACACATATATATACACATAAATAAAAGTAAAATAATTTGTTTAAAAAATGAATTGTCAATTTAGTAATGCTATGGGATTGTTTCCTGAGAGGTCATATCTCGTTCTCATTTGGGTTGGCGCTAATCTGCATACAACAAATACAGAGATGCTAGGGACTGGAGAGAAGGGGTCAGGGCTTACAAGCACTCGCTGCTCTTGCAGTGGACCTACATTTGGTTCCTGGTTAGCCTTCTACTCTGTCAGTCTAGGCACTATAAGGAGAGGGTCTGGGGGGACAGTGGGAAGCAAAGCGATGGTGTGTGGTTGCTAATGGACAGTTTTTGCCTGGGGACCCTTAAGTTGTGGCCTGCTTGAGTCCTCTGCCACCCATCCCACAGCTCAGGATCTGTGAGCTCTCAGGCTAAGGAGAAGGTGATCCCACCCCACCACTGTCTGGCAAACAGCCTTGCACTCCCAGCTGACTGCTTGTTTTCTTGTCTTCTGGCCACATCTCTGTCCTGTATCCATAGCTGAGTCTCTCCATTGTGAACCCCCTTTTTCTTTTTTTTTCATATTTTTACTTTTATTGTTAATTTCCTTTATTTACATTTCAAATGTTATCCCCTTTTCTGGTTTTCCCTCCTCAAATCCTCTATCTCATTCCACCCCCCTTCTATGTGGGTGTTCCCCCACCCGGTACCCACTCCCGCCTCCCTGCCCTGGCATTCCCCTACACTAGGGCATCGAGCCTTCACAGGACCAAGGGCCTCTCCTCCCACTGATGCCTGACAAGGCCATCCTCTGCTACATATGTGGCTGGAGCCGTGAGTCCCCCCCGATGTGTACTCTTTGGTTGGTGGTTTAGTCCCTGGGAGCTCTGGGGGATCTGGTTGGTTGATATTGTTGTTCTTCCTATAGGGTTGCAAACCCCTTCAGCTCCTTCAAGTCCTTTCTGTAACTCCTCCATTGGGGATCCTGCACTCAGTCCAATGGTTTGCCGTGAACATCTGCCTCTGTATTTGTCAGGCTCTGGCAGAGCCTCTCAGGAGACAATGATATCAGGCTCCTGTCAGCAAGCACTTCTTGGCATCCTCAATAGTGTCTGGGTTTGGTGTCTGTATATGGGATGGATCCCCAGGTGGGGCTGTCTCTGGATGGCCTTTCCTTCAGTCTCTGCTCCACACTTTGTCTCCATATTTCCTCCTGTGAGTATTTCCTCCCATGAGTATTTCTTACTCCATCTCTCAGGGTAGGTTGCAAAGCTATCTTCCGACCTTTTATTCCTTTGGAATGTACTTGAGGCCAGGTTTATCTTAGAAGATTTCATATGGATGGAGAGATAAAGACCCATCTTTTCCAGCCTTCCTCTGAGCTTACAGAGCCCCATTCTTCTGCCAGAACAGGCAGAATAAACCCAACTTAAAACTTGTTTTATGGATCTAAATAAAGTAATTCTAACATGAGTGCCTTGAGAGTTTTAGGAGCCAGAAGCTTTGGAAAGCTAGTGGTAATGACTGTTTAATACTGTGAGTAAGTTCATGCCATGGAATCCTATGTACATTTCAAAAATAATTTAAAATACATATTTTGTGTGATTTTTCTTTTGCCACTACAAAAAAAATACTTTTGAATTCAGACAAACTGTGCTACCTAACTCTATTTTTTTTTCCTTTTAAGGTTCTTCCCCATTAGCTGTTGCCAGTTCCTGACTCATCTTCCGTAGCAGTAGGGCCGAGAGGAAGGGAAGAGGAATTCAGGTCAAGGAGGAATAGGGCCAGGGATAGTCTCTGTAGCCAGAGGCTGGAGGTCTGGATCTTCTTTATCATTCTGGAACCCTTGGGTTTGGGGATGGAGTTCGGAGGACCTCAGAAAATGGTGAGGGTTCTAGTTTAGTTTTATTTTATTTTTTTATTTTTATTTTATTTTATTTTATTTTTGGTTTTTCGAGATAGGGTTTCTCTGTGTAGCCCTGGCTGTCCTGGAACTCACTCTATAGACCAGGCTGGCCTCGAACTCAGAAATCCGCCTGCCTCTGCCTCCCAAGTGCTGGGATTAAAGGCATGCGCCACCACCACCTGGCCCTAGTTTAGTTTTAAAATGTTTTTTTGACTCAGAACACAATCCTGCTCAGGAGGGTGCTCTTTTGTTAGTTTTAGGACTAAAAGCAATTCCCAATAGATCTAAGAACCCTGGGTCAAGGCAAAAGCCTTGGGCCACCCCTATGTGGATGAGCAGGAATAAACAGGTTTGCCAAAGGTCCTGAGCTGAAGCCTGAGACCCACCTACTTGGGCACTTGTGTCATCTTATGTTCAGACCCCAAAGAAAAGGTGATCTTAGGCCCTTACTCAAGGTGACCCAGCCACCAAGCATCTGGTGCCTACCACTATGGAGGTAGGAACTGCCACACCCACTTAAACTCTGGGAGATGGAGCTCTTCATCTACCACCTCGATGTGGGTGCTGTGTGGTAGGAGGACTTCCACAGTGATAAGACAGAGAAGAAGTGTGCTAGCCAAATGTTCCCCTTGGCCCTGGACCAAGTCTCCCTCGGGGTCTGCTCATCTTTGGTAAAGGACCTTTTTGGGACCTGGTACATCCAGGATTGTGGGAATGATGGTTGTGGAAGGAAGTGCAACTTCTTCCTTGGTGTCCGGGAAAGGTTCTTGGCAGGATGGTCATTGCCTACATTTCAAGAACAGTGCAGGGCTACTCAAAAGAAGAGTCGATAAGAAACCATCTTCCTTAATCATCAGATACGTGTTTGTCCTAAATAATCGTTTCCTAAACAATTGTCCTTAAATATATCAAAATACCTCCTAACAATAATGTCGCAGATCATCTACAGAGTATAAGCACCTCATAGAGTTGGGATAAACCTTGAACAAACTCTTCCAGGCCCTGACCAAGGAATTTTCCGACTCCCTAAACCTTAAAGCCTAAGACTTGCTGGAATCCCCTGTCCCCCTGAGTTGACCCTCCAGCCCTCTACCCCTCACTCACTTTGCCAATTAAGTCTCCCACTATCACATGCATCCAGATAGTCCAGGTAAGTCAGTTTCTAAAGATAAAACAGACTTGTCAGTTTCTAAAGATAAAACAGACTTGTCTGGATAAACAACTCCAGGAGAGAGAAACTGCAGTCTTGCAGGTAGTTAAATGGAAGTTCCATTTAACTTCCCATAGAAACCCCAAGTATTTCCATCCCCTTTGGTAGACACCCCTTTCCTGCTGTGTCTGCTCCCCCATGCCCCACTGTTTGAAATAAACACCATCTGCTGAGGTCAGACAGGTCTTCTTCCTGCCTCCTGTTGCTAAGGTGCCTCAGAAATGGAGCACAGAGCTGAGTCACTTACTATTCTCCATCCCTGGTTTGAGGGACTGCATTCCTGACCTTTTGTTGTTTTTCTGGACTTTAGAGACCTGGTTTCTCTGAGTAGCTCTGGCTGTCCTGGAACTTGCTTAATAGACCAGGCTACCTTCGAACTCAGAGATCTGCCTGCCTAGGCCTCCGGAGCGCCGGGACTAAAGGGACGTACTCCCACTCCCAGGTGTATCCCTGGCCTCCCCCTTCACATTCAAAGCCAGTTCTCTGCTCTCTAGCCTCCAGAGCGGGCGGCTGTGCCTTCTCACCCAGTCCTCCCACCTGCGATACAGGGCGTTGCCTCTTTCTCCCACTTCCTTCTTCCCACTTAGGTCTGGACAGAGCAATGGCCTGAGGCCAGAAAAAGGTCAAAGAGTGTCATGGAAAAGGGTGGAGTCCAGATGATTGCGCCTCTACAAGCCTGAAGCCAAACAGATGTGCTAAGGGCTGCTCTATCTTTCAGGGCTTCTTCAGAATGATGTGTGGTAAAAGACCCTTGAAAATGTGCTTCAGGCTCGTTGGTTCTCAGAAGTGAGCCCCGCTAGCAAAACAGACCAGCTGCTTCCCAGGGCAAAGGTGCACACTTCCGGTGATAGCATAGAGGGGGCTGTGACAGGGCCAGAGGTCTTAACAACAACAGAATTATCTTGGCTACAGCTGCAG